CAGGCAGCACAGCCCCATACCGGAGATTCAGTGCCAATTGGAGGAGAGGAGAGTCCCTCTCTGACAGCACTGCGTACCCTTGGTTGGGGAACCCCAGTCCCAGCCGGCTCCCGTCGTGACCCCGTGATTAAAAAAAGTCAGCCTTTGCTCGCTCAGGCTTGTGTCTTTGCCCATTGAGCCACTCGGGAAAGTGTACTACTTCAATCAATAATCATCCCCCAGATTGTCATTAAATTTAAAGACAAGTGAAACTTGCAGCTGTAATGAACTACTGACCTGGGCTCTGTGCTTCCACACACACAGTTCCTGACATGAAAGACTGCAGATTTGGAGTCCTTGAACAGCAGATGATTCTGGTAACATGTAGCCTTCATATCCTGGTGCAAATAGGACTGTGTGTGAAAGAAGGAAATTCAACAAGTAACTTTTAAGCCACTCTGAACGTGCCGATGTTCAGCAGTGCAGTCAGTGAAGATATGGGCACTGCTGGGTTCAGTTCCAGTAGCTGCAAGGAACACGAAAGTTGATATGAAAATCCGCGTTCATAAAACATTTGTGAAGTGCAGAACACCTGAGGCACGCTGTTTTACAATCTAATTTAAACATTCAGTGTTCCTTCAGAACCTGGAGGATTGTGATCCCACACAGGAGGCTTTTGAAAATCTTAAATAAAATAATTTAAATAAACCTAATAAAAGTGAACATTCAGTAAAACGTCCGTGAACTTTGGATGGCAGTCATTCAAATGGTCAAACAAGAAACACTTTGAGTTTCGATCAGGCCCTGAGCAGCGCGGGCCCCAGTCAGCTCCGAGATTTATCATTCTGTCCCTTTGTTCACTAATTATTAGTTATTTCCCTGAATTGCATTAGTTTAGTTTCTGAAGACAAACTGGCTCCGTCTGAGCACACAAGCAGGCTTTTGAGCACAGATCTGATGCATGGTCTTCAGCTCTGAAAGAACGAGTTTTTTTTTCAGGAAGTATTAATAGATGTCCAGTTCATTTGCTGGTTTTTGTTGTATCACAAACAGTAGATGGTATTCTTCCAGCAGAGGAGTCTGTATCCTTACTGGATATTTACTGCCTGCTGGAGACCGTCTGTGGGGCTGGAGGATGCAGTGGCTTTGTTCGCTGTGCCCTGGGGGAGTCCACACTTGTTAAATATGTTTAGAGAGGGAGGCACCAGTGTCCTTAATGGCCGTAAATTTAACCAATCGGCCATCTGACCCCCCCGGTCTGCTGGTCACAACCCAGGAGCCCTGCACAAACTCTGCAATATTTCAAATGCAGCTCCGCTCACAGAAGCGCTTAATTAGCATTCCCATGAGGCGCCTGACATCTGCATATATTTGGACTCCACTTGGGTGTCCATTGAGGACTGAGGGATGCTACTCCTGATGTGGCGGAGAGCTAGTATTTATGGCGCTCAGGGCTGAAGCCCCCCATTCTTTGTGACCTCCCTGAATTGTGAGGGGCAGCCTTCATGCCCTCAGTGCAAGAATGCGTCAGCAAGGCGTTGTTACAAAAGAAGGGACAGCTCTTGTGAAACTGTGAGTTCAGATAACCGGCTTGTTCTTGTTACTCATTAATCCTTATCTGCAGAGGGAAGTGTCCTGGCATGGATTTTGAAATTCCAGGATATTTCTGTGCCATTTAAAATGTGTTCATCAGCATTCTAAAGCTGTGACATTGCAGTTCCCCACCTCCATGCTTCTGTGCAATTCAGATTCTTTATTTTTGTCAGGTTTTATAGAAATACGCCGTAAAAAAAACAAACGTTTTTTCACCAGTGGGGAAGTCCGTTCTTATCTGATTTCAGATTGCCCTAAATTCGTCTTCTCCTGCTTTTCATGGCCATTACAACAAAAGCAGAATAGAAATTAACTTAATTGTGTTATTTATTGAAACAAAGAAAGAGATGAAGACGGTTTGGTGAAATTTAGGCTATTTGTTAAGAGTGGACATCTTAGCAAAAATGCTAACTGCAAGCACTTAACCATTAAAGATGGTGCTTAGTTTAATTAGTAATAGATTCATTATAATTGTAAACTTTTGGTCAATGTGAGCATACTGTATATACAGCTCCAAATAAATGTGAATGGGTGTGTGCTTGCAATTTCAGAAACACAGTAGTTTAATAAAACAAATATATTTATTTTGTTTTGAAAAATGTAGCTTTCAATGCCAAACACTTTTTCTCTGCTCTTCATCTTGTGGGCTTTCAGGAAGATCTCAGCGTGGTTTTATAAACACTTGTCAAAAACTGACCTCTGCTGGCGATGTATGCAATAACCTCTAATTTCCCGGCAAGCTTGTTTTTTGACGAATCTGTGCTATTCATGACAATTGAAGTGCAGTCAGTACCGTACAGATTACATTTACCAGTGAAAAAGACAAAATCTGATGAAGCCACGTGATACCAAGTAAGTTGGTTGATGGACTTCTTTCTAATGGAGATTGCTAATTCAAGAGGATGTCATACAGTACATGTGTCTTGGGAACAGTGATCAATTTTCTAGAAGCCTGCTTTTCAGGCTGCATGAGGGTTTGCAGGTGCCTTCAAAGAGCACAAACTTGAAGATCAGTGATGTCCAGGAGATAGTTAATGATAGCACTCCCATACTGATGTGCAGAAAAGCACATGTCTTAGCACATGTGCCAGTTAGTTTACTGTGGTCAACCCTGAATATTTCTATGAGCAAGATGTTGAAGAGCATACATCCCTTTTAAGTGCAGACTCCTCAGAGCAGTGGTGTCACAAACACTACACTATCCCACAAGTTGTTCTGTATGCCCCTGAGTTCCTTGAAACATGGTGCCAGTTGCTTCCAAACGTGAGCAGACACTCTTATGTAATGTTGGAAATTTTTACAGCACACAAAATTAAAATGCATCTTTTTAGAGCGCATTGCATGACTCTTGGTGACATGATTCAGAGGCGGTGATTGCTGTAATCATTTGACTGCTGCAGCATTTAAATGATAAAATGAACTATAAGACGGCGCAAAAGTTAACATACTGTAAGAGTGTGGAGTTTCCATCTAGCCGGGAGTCAGGGATTCACAGACTGAGAGATTGCCTGTTTCAAATGTTTAGAAGCTATTGAATCCATTTCTCGATTTACAGTATCTCACATCCTTCCATAGTAGTGTGTTAAAAGCAGATCTGTATCCTGGCGGTGTGATTCTTTTGCTTTATGTCCATATACTGTACATGCGTCTTCTTTCACATTCTGTTCATAAGACTATCTGAATTCACCCGAAGTTCTAGTACTGTCTGACATGCAAACACAATGTAAGTGATGACATACTGAGAGAGACTCGGGTGTGACTCTGGATGGTGGCTTAAGTGCACCACCACTGCGACATCAGTGAAAGAATATAATTAATCAAACATCAACGAGGGGCGTAAAACACACAAAACAATGTGAGTTGTTCATGTGACCTTAAGGAAGCCATGTGATGTGGAGGAATCCACAGCTTCACAATGATCTTTTGTTGCTAACAAACTTTCCATGTCATGTCCTTTTTTTTTAGTTCCCTGGTTCCCAAATTACATCCAGGACCTGGATCGGTTTGCCAATCAGATCCTGAGCTATGGCGCGGAGCTGGATTCTGACCACCCTGTAAGAACAGTCTCTCAACACCCCCGTCTCCACCGCGGTCTGAAGCCTGAGCACTGCTGATCAGATCAGATCTATTGCTTTACTCACCAAAAAGAGGCTTTATTTACATCCCAACAGCTGACTAAGATTGCTGCTTTCTTAGAACATAAAATCCTTCAGCAATCACTCCTATAACTTTTCTTCAATTTTTTTTTTGGCACACATTCTCAGGATTGTCTTGAGAATTGAATGTCTTTTCCCCCCCCCCATGGTCTAACTAAGTATAAAGAAAGCTATTCATTTGCAACAAAAAAAACATATACTGTATGCAGCTCTTAAGCTGAGAGTGCAATGCATTATCACCAAATTTATGTATATTACAGATTTCGTGGCTCAGGGTCTGAAGAAGTGGGTTGCTCCTATTATAAATAACTAAAGTTATCATTTAAATTTATTTATAACAACCCAGTATTTAAATTTAACCCAGAACTTTAAAAGTCGTCCTTTAAAAGAAACTGATGGCAGTTTTTCTTTAGCGATGGCTCCCCCTGGGGACAGTGTTGGGTATAAACTCAGAATAAGGCACAAGCTGCAAAGAATTCTGTGGAGCATTCTGGGACAGGAAGTGCTGTGGTTTGAAAGGCTTTGTGTCGGGTTTGACTGAACTTGTTTTGTACCTTGTATGGCTTCTTGCTCATTCATCCCTTTTGTGCTGTACTCTCTGTGAGTCACGCAGTGATCACAGCTCCAGACCTCGCCTATTCTCATGCAAAAGAAGTGTGAGCTCTAGAGGGGAAAAAATTGATGTCATTAGTTTAATTGAGGCACCGTAATTATAAATAATTACTCCTTTTCTAACCACTATTAAACTGAAATCTATTCAGCGTAAGCAAAAACAATCTACAAAGCCTTGCCTGAATATATCTTTTTAATTTAAATCTGGGTGATATGGGTTATCTCTCGAGGTGTAATTGATTTTCTGATTTTAATGGCGGAGCTTGAAAAATAGGTTTTGCTGGGTCATGTAGCTGCTGTACCCCTGGTCTCATGTGGATTGTTGTTCTCTGTTCTCCTGTAGGGATTTACGGATCCTGTATATAGAGCCAGGAGGAAGGAATTTGCTGACATCGCCTACAACTATAGGCAGTAACTATCATCTGGTTATGGAATTTCTTCACAGCGAATTCTCTCTTTCTCTTACATTTGTGTAGAAGTGCTGGAAGCTATCCTGCTGCTAATTTTGTCCCTCCTGTCTATCTTTTTTTTCTTTCTCTTTTGAGGCTATTTATTAAAAATTATAGCCAAACAAAGAGAAGCAAATTGCAGCGAGCCAGCTTTCAAACTGCATCCCCTGGCTTTGTTATCTTAATTGTGTCCCGTTATTAGAGGCTACTACAAAGCCTGCACGCCTGAATGGAGCTGCTTCAGCTATTCTTCACATGGCCTCTGAAGAGGGAATCATTAACATAAAAGTGCGGATTGCATACACTAATACAGTAATGAAGCTCACTTAAATGATGTGTGCACTTCTGCCCTGCATTATCCAGTCTTCCTGATCTTTCCTTCCAAGATCCTCTGGAATATAAGGGTGTAAGAAAGGTTGTAAGTGGGAATCCTTCTCTTCTTGCTGATTTGGCAGCTAGTTGCTTATTGATGCGAGCTTCACGTGAAGCCCTGACCTGTAATGTCTTTATTCCCCAGCGGCCAGCCCATTCCTAAAGTGGAGTACACGGAGGAGGAGAAGCAGACCTGGGGCACCGTCTTCAAGGAGCTGAAGACGCTGTACCCCACTCACGCCTGCCGGGAGCACAACCGCGTCTTCCCTCTCCTGGAGCAGTACTGCGGCTACCGAGAGGACAACATTCCCCAGCTGGAGGACATCTCCAGGTTCCTGCAGTGTAAGATCCCCCTGCTTCACGCTGAAGCCACGATTCGGGGGTCAGAGTTCCCCGCGGGGTCCCCTAAAGCTGGGCCATTGCCACAGCCCAGAGCTACACGGTCCACACGTGTCAAGAGCTCTGGCAACAGGTGGAAATGGCAGCATTCAGGGCCCTGAGGGTCCTCTGTTCATCCTTCCACCCTTGGCCTGCATTGTCTAATGAGCCAGTTATTGAAATACAAAGTAATTCTGCTCGTTTTTGTGATGCCCATTGGATGGTAATTGAAAATGACCTTTAAAAACCAAATGACTACAGTTCTGTGGAGCTCCCCATCCTTGGCCTAGGGCAGGGAATTTAATCAGTGCCCTTCCTGGATCTTTATTTGAGCCGAACAAAGTGAAAGGGATCAAATAGAAAATCTCTTTCCACGTAAAGTGGAAAGGTTCTTGGACGAACCTATGTCACAGTAGATTCATTAATTGCTTATTTATTCCTTTCTCCCTTTGTGGAATATATTAAACCTGTCAGCGAGGCTGTGGTTAAATAAGGATGTGGCTCAGATGGGGTGTGGTTAGATGTGAGCGTGTGGGGCTAAATGTGGATGTGGGTGTGGCTCAGCGAGGGTGTGGCTAGATGTGGGCGTGGCTTGGCGAGGGCGTGGTTATATGTGGGTGTGGCTCAGCGAGGGCGTGGCTAGATGTGGGCATGGCTTGGTGAGGGTGTGGCTCTGCAAGGGTGTGGCTCGGCGAGGGTGTGGCTAGATGTGGGTGTGGCTTGGCAAGGGTGTGGTTAGATGTGGGTGTGGCTTGGCGACGGTGTGGTTAGATGTGGGTGTGGCTTGGCGACGGTGTGGTTAGATGTGGGTGTGGCTCGGCGAGAGTGTGGTTAGATGTGGGTGTGGCTCAGTGAGGGTGTGGCTTGGCGAGGGTGTGGTTAGACGTGGGTGTGGCTCAGTGAGGGTGAAATCGGCTATCTCTCATCCACACTTCCTGCTCTGCAGCCTGCACAGGTTTCCGCCTGCGTCCCGTGGCCGGCCTCCTGTCCTCGCGGGATTTCCTTGCGGGGCTGGCGTTCCGCGTCTTCCATTCCACCCAATACATCCGCCACTCTTCTAGACCCATGTACACCCCTGAGCCGTGAGTGTGCCCCACACTGGTGGGGGTAGTGCAGCCCAGACATCCTGCCTGTTCGTGCACTACTAGACACCGTTGTTTTCAATTTGTGAAAAGAATTACATTGGCAGGAATATAACTAGATTCGTGAGGATCGTTCCCCATTAAGAGAATTTTGTGGAGTGAGAAGCTTAAGCTTAACTCACTGGGTGGAGGGTCAGGCGCCTGGCGAGAGCATGTGGAGGCTGGGACCCCCCCGCAGAGTGAGGGGTGACCAAGGGCCCGCTGCGCAGGTGGACACCAGGTGAAGGAGGGAGGCAGAGAGTGAAAGTCAAGGAAGTGAGCTGTCATCCCTCCTGAAATATTGTTAAAACTGCATACATACGGCATGAAGACACTTGCCCTGAGGGTGTGCTTGAGGGAGGAGGCCACCCCTGTTGCCCAGTACAAGCCTGCAGGCTGGTAGGGGGTAAATAAGAGGCACAGTGCTCCTAGCTAAGGCCCTGGAGCTCACAGGGTGTCAGCTGACCAATGACTGCAGGCTCAGGGGCCAGAGGAGCTCTGAGCACTTCTCACAGGTCAGTACTGACAGAGCAAGTGATGATTCCAAATGAGCGAGAAACCAATTACTGTGATGTACCATAGTAAAAACATAGAGCAAGCTGTAGAAAGGTGTAGTGAAATCATTGTAAGAGTGGAGCTTATAAAGAAAACTCGGGAGGGATGACGACAGCCAAGGTCAATCAGCTTGATGTTACTTCCTCACATAAAACATGGTAAATACTGTACGTCAGCCTCTTCTCTCCCCTACATTCGTCTCCTCCACCCGTACAGCTGCCCCTGGTCCCTCCTCACTCAGGGTGTCCCAGCCCCCTCGTTCCTCTCAGACTAGCGGGTTAAACCCAAATTTACTGTAGATTAGACACTCAGTAACATTTTCAGTACACTTAACTCTTGGGTGTTGCTATCCTCAGTGAAACACAATATGTTGTAGAGGGGTATTCAGTTTTCACTTTAATAGAACAACTAGAGGCCACTGGAAATCCGTGATGTGATCATGGAAGACCACTAAACCGCTAGAAATCTGTAAGATTATACTGGAAATTCAGTTAACCGTTCACAAGCTGCTCTGGCATTGCAGTTAACAGGAGGTTGTTTTTAGTGTCTTGCATTTAGCTGCCTGTGTGAAACAAACTGCTTGCTCTCTCTCTCCACAGTGACATCTGTCATGAACTGCTGGGACACGTGCCTCTTTTTGCAGATCCCAGCTTTGCCCAGTTTTCTCAGGTAGGGTATTCTTTTTAGTTGCACTGGACAGAAGCAAGGCTCTTCCACAGTGCTCCCTTAGGGCATCGGTCACAAACAGTGGGCAGGCCAGTGTGGATGTACCACTTTCTGCCACACTAAACACAGGAATGAAAAGACAAATCTGCTGTCCAATCATTGGCAGGAGACCAGTTTTTTTCAGGATAACTAGTACCTCAGGTGAAACAGAGAAGATTATTTAGCGTGACTGGGGATTATGAACAACATAAGCAAATCCTGTATAATCCCCCTTGGACAGCTCAGCTGCATTGGGCACCTAGGGGTAAAAGGTCACTGTAGCTCTACAGTGCATTATGAGTGGCTGCCCCTAGTAAAGCAGACCCTGCAATTTATTTGGTTTTATTTGGATTAAGATATCCGTCCAGTTTTAGGTTTCTCATTTCTTTTGCTTTGTTCGTAAGTGACTAAAAGTACTGTGTAAATGGTGGACTGTCATACATACAGTATACATCAAGTAACGTTGGTTTCTCTGCCAGGAAATCGGGTTGGCCTCTCTGGGAGCTCCAGACGAGTATATTCAAAAGCTTGCGACAGTAAGTACAACAATCCCTGAAGTGAGCTCCCTGGAATATTCGGCACTGCTCGTCTGTTTTCCTTCCCTCTCTTTTCGGAACACCTTCAGATGAGACGGGTGGATCTGCATTGGCAGATCTCTTTTCAAAGCATGAATTTGGAATGGCAAATAAGAAGTCTCGGCAAAGCGTGGCGCTTCGTACTCAGTGTGATTCACTTTCAGCTGACGATGCCATCTGTTGTTCTCCTGAAGGTGTACTGGTTCACAGTGGAGTTCGGGCTGTGCAAACAGGAATCTGAGATCAAGGCTTATGGAGCTGGCTTGCTCTCATCCTTTGGAGAGCTGCAGGTCTGTGCACTTCATTACGGGTACTTGAGAGCAATGCATGGCCTTGTTATAAGGAATAAACAAGATGAGTGGAATTCATTTCCCATATAATTGGAAGCGATCATGGCTGATATCATCACAGATACGCAGGTTATTTCTCAGCCATGTTTGTTGGATAAAAGGGAGCATTTTGCATCACTTTAAAAAATGTCACCTAATATTCCAGTGCTGAGGCCATTTGGCAGGTCTGGTGAAAATTGCTTTTCGGTCATCATCTAGCTCTGGGTAGCTACACGTCTCCTGTAAGGGGTGTTTTTTTGTGAAGGTCCCGCATGGATCTGTGCTTCATCACAGAACAGTGCTTGTGATGTCAGGAGACTCCTGCCACAGGTTGAGTCCTTTCAGCCGGAGACTCTGCAGCCTGACTCAGCCTGTAGCAGGAAAGAAAGTAACTCAGTCAGTTTGTCATTTACTAGTTTCCCTTTATAAAGCCATCTGACTTCCCTTGACCTATTGTTATTCTTTCACATTCATAAGGAGCAGCTTCTTAAGAACTTCAGTTTGTTTCAATGTATAACCAGACATATTTAATCAACTAGAACGACTGTGTGCTGTGCACATGCTGTAATGTCTGTATAGTTCTGCATTAGGTAACTAAAATCATCCCACCTTGTATTAATTGCATTTATTACTGCAACCTTGTAAAAGCACAGTGGGGAAACAAGCTTTGGATGGTCCTCCCTGTGTGAAACTTGCACCTGTCAGAGCTGTCTTTTTCTTAGTGCTCTCACCCACAATTGGCTACATTGCTGCAGAGCTCACACAGACTACTCTGAGCAGCTCAAACCTACCCAGCCCTAGTGAGGCTCTGTCAGTCGAGCACTGTTGTCTAATTGTATCGATCCTGCTTAAGAATGTAAGAAAAAAAAACAGAGGAAGTCATATCTACTGTGTGTTGGCCTATCTAGGATGTTTTGTACTTCCTAGTTAATATCAGCATCTCCTGCAGCCATTTCTTGATAGAAAAGTAGTATATCCAGGGTATTGGCTTCAGCAACATGTTGGGTAGCTTGTTCCATACTCCCACAACCCTTTGTGTAAAACGGAGCCTCCTTTTCTGAGTTTTAAATGCACTTCCACTAGTGCCCTCTTTACACATTGCCTTCATTGTCATCTGCCATTGTTTACCTAATTCTGAATGTGATTGTTTTACATACAGTATGTTCGCTATGTCTACAGTGTTTTCAAACACTCCTATGTTGGTATCATCTGCAAGCATTACTAATTTACAAGCTATACCAGAATCTAGATGTAGGAAGAACACTGTAAGGAAGAACAGTGGTCCTAGATCTCTAATTACATTACCCCTTATCAATACTCTGTTTTCCATTTGTTAACTACATTACAGTCCAACGCTCATGCTTATTGGGGATATCTGGAAAGTGGAGGTCCAGTGGTGCTCTGAATGAATGTCTTTACTAGTCTCCAGTCAGCTTTAAAATAAGGATAAAGGATAAGTAATGTAGGATAGATAGACAGAGGGATACACAAAGAGATGAATCTGTGGCCAGTAAATTCTATAAAATAATTTGCTGCATTATTATGTCATATACAGTTCCCTAAAAATATTAGGAGAGTAAAGCATAAACTCAGATTTCACTAGAAACTGTAAGAATAATTTCTCATTAAAAAGCTGATTTCTACCTTTGGGTCAAATAAACAAATTGAGTGTTGAACCTTTTTTATTTTGAAGAAAACCTTTTCGTTTGCATACATATTGAGACAACGGGCTGACGTGTCCATTTTAGCCTTGGTGTTGGGAAATTAAGATCCCTGTCAACTGGCTCATGTGGACTCCAGTGTTTGGAGTCCCTAGTCAAATATTACAATAAAAACCAAGAACATTTCCATTTGAGGAAAGCAGGCAATTTTGAAACTTAAAGAAAAAGTTGTAATTCAGTGGTCAGTTGTATTGAAGCACAGGAACTGGGCGTACCAAGAACAACATTTAGTAATATGCAAAAAGCAGTCACAAGCATATTTCGCCAATCAGTCAACAAAAATGCTTGATGTTGATGACAGAATCATTATCAGGGCTGTCAAGCAAAACCTCAAAATCACCCACAACATCTGGGGCCCCATTGGTGAGAGTGTTAAAATTCTCAGTTCCCACAAACTGGGACAACAGAATTCCAAAAGCTCCACTGCAATATGTAAACCTCTCAACAGCGCCAAGACCAGAAAAGCTAGGTTAGAATTCACTCGGGAGTATCGAATTCGCCAGAAGAGTTTTGGAACAAAGTTTTACGGACAGATGAATTTTTACAAAGTGAGTGAAAGGCTAAGCCGTGGAGGAAGACGGGGACTACAGTTGCTCCAAAGAACGGAGTTTATGATATAACTAAGAACGGCAGCCGCAGAATGAATTCTGCCATTTACAGATACTTTTGGCAGCTTTTGTAGAAAAAATGCTTCTGCACTTGGTTGTGGCTTCCCCATGTAGAAACGACATGAGAAATCTTAGACTGGCGAGGTCAATCTTCAGATTTGAATCCCACTGAGCAGCAGTTTACATGCTGGAGACAAAACTGAAGTCGGAACATCTCAAAAGTACGGGTCGAACTCAGAGTGGCTACAGAAAAGGCAAGGCAGAACATCACAAATGATTATACACACACAGTCTGGTGAGCTCAGGGAGTGCCGACTTCATGCAGGCCTTAAAGGGATCTGCACGCAACTTCTGACTTTTAAACTCCAAAATGCATTTAACATGCATGTGTCCCAATATTCATAGCCACCTGAACCACTGGGATGAACACAGTATGTTCAATATACTGTATGAAGTACACTGTAGCTCAGCCAACTCCTAATATTTGCGCAAGTCGATAGATTAATTGATTGATGTGTTTATCATCATGGTTCCATCTGATTATTCCTTATGTTATTTTAATTTGTGTATTTTGTTTTATGTACTTCAATTCACATTTTTGCATGCAGTGTAATTACAATCAGTGTGATATTTACTGCTTCTTGGCTGTAAGATGAATAAAATGTGATTACTTCTTTCTTCCTGATTCTTAAGAACAATCTTCCTTTATTTTTCTTTACTGCAGTACTCCTTAACAGATAAGCCAAAACTGCTGCCATTCGACCCTGAAAAGACCAGCCTGCAGGCTTACCCAATCACTGAGTTTCAGCCTGTGTATTTCGTCTCTGAGAGCTTTGAAGATGCCAAAGAAAAAGTCAGGTAACAATGTCTACTTTTGTGTCAACAGCAGCCTCATGCATGCATCTTCTTGGAATTACATTCAAAACCAATAAACACAATGTTACAATAGCCTGTAGACTGCTACATCCAAAGTCTGTAAATACATTCTTTGAGGTAAAGGTAAGTAATATCTTCAGACCACCAGTAGCTTAAGACTTGTGGATG